ATATGTGTATAAAAAATAAAGATTAAATATATTTTTTATATATATATTTTTATATATATATTATATTTATATTATTATTATTACAAATGTGTTTCACATTTGTTTTAACGCACCTGTCAATTAGCCACTTGTATTGCGTGAGGAGGACTTGCCTTTTTGTATATTATACCCTCTTAATTAGTCAAAACGAGCACACCAACCCATTAAGAAAAATTTTCTGGGTTAAGCTTCCTGGGAGGCTTAATCGGGATATTCTATCCTAATCCAAGTTGTTTAGTCCGCCCATTATTGGATTTGGGAGGTGTAAGTGTTATGTGAGGTCAGAGTGGGTCCCCGTTAAGTGGGGAATGAAATTTCTACGGACGATGAGACCCTTTAAAGGGGAAGCGCCTTGATGCTAGTGATTTTCCTTGTTTAAGGAATTTAAGTACCTTTTTACTTCCATGGTTCAAAGTGTTTATCTCCCGTAAATAACAGCAAAAATTAAATAATAATAAAATAATAATAATAAAAATAAAAAAATTAATAAAATTTTTATTTTTTATTTTTTTATTTTATTGTTATTATTTTTTTAAAAAAAATTTTACAACCACAACATTGTCATTAAAATTATTTTTATTATTTTTTAATATTTTAAAATTTTTATTTTTATTATTATTAAAGCAAAATATGGAGCAAATTTAGATATGGACTGTCAGAATAGCGTTGAAGATAAATTTTTTGGGACGTTATAAGTGTAACGAGAAAAGGGAATGTATGGAGTGGCGATATTTTGCACGCTGCAAGAGAGATATGTGCCCTGGAGGTAATGATTCGGGGAAGCCGGTAGATTTTAATTTTTAATCTAAGCCAGGAGATGATTCGACCCACGTAAAAAAACTGGAGAGTACATAAACATACATTCCCTCAAAATATGAATTCCCAAACAACGATGCATCCAGGAAAGGTAAACACCCAAATTAAAAAGCAAAAAAAAACTCGTCTTACTCCCAAAAAATACTACACGAGTCGGATGTGGTTGAGATGCCGAGGCAGGTTTAAAGAACCTTTTAACCCGCACTTCCAACTTAGAGAGTACACCCATAACAAATCATCCAAATATAGACACCACTATGCAGAAACCTACATGTATATAAATATATACTCTATCCTATCTGACTAGTTAACCGGGGGGGGGTGTTTGTGTATAATATTTTAAAAAATTATATATATATATATATATAATATATATATTTTATATATTATTATACACACCAAAGTGTTTTTGCAGTTTTCTACTTATGAATAGAAGAAAATTTTAATTTAATGACAATTTTGCCATTATTTATGTACAGATTTTTTTTAGTATAAGAAATGCTTATTATAAGATTCATTACTACATTTCTATTTGGGTAAAAATGTTTGCTCTGAAAATTCCCAACCGAGTACAATATTTTTAACTGACGTGCGAAAAAAAATGGTGGCCACTAATGTGCATCAAGGTGATATAAAGTCTAATCACAGCGTAATTAAGGTAGCTTTTACGATCTTAATAATGAAGTCATTCTGGACACGCTCAGTAGTCCCACCTCAGTGTTTGGAAACTTTCATCTACCTTAGACGAGAACGTATTTCTTTTCTAATAATATAGGGCCAATGGATGAATAAGTAACGTATACAACATCTGGGAATCTTTTTTACTGAAACTGCGTTGCAGGCTTCTTTATTTAAAATATAGGGGGGAGAGAGGGAGGAGAGGAGAGAAGAGGAGGGAGTGAGTGGGGCTATTTTTAGGTGCTCCATTTCCCCACCCTTGGTAAAGTGACGAGAAATTTTGAGGGTTCGTCCCCCTTTCCTTGTTGTTTATGTAATTTTCCCTATAAGTAATAGACTTGCTGATCAAAACTAGGTGGCCCTTACCATTTAAATTTTTTTTGTTAACCCCTTTTTAATTAAAATAACCCCAAAAAAGGTTTCTTTAGTGGGACTAAATTTACAAT